ATCTTGGGGGATACCCGCCTCTGAGCAGTACCCGCCTCTCAGAAATACCCGTCTTGGGGGATACCCGCCTCTGAGCAGTACCCGCCTCTCAGAAATACCCATCTTGGGGGATACCCGCCTCTGAGCAGTACCCGCCTCTCAGAAATACCCGTCTTGGGGGATACCCACGTTGGAGCAGTACTCGCCTCTCAGGGATACCCACCTCAAAGGGATACCTGCCTCTCATGGATACCTGCCTCTCAGCTGTAAATGCCTTTGAGGGATACCAATCTCTGAGGGATATCCGCCTCTGGGGGATACCCGACTCTGCAGGGTACCCGCTTCTGAGGGATATGTCTGTGGGGGATACCCGCCTCTGAGGGATACCTGTCTCAGGGATATCTGCCTCTAGAGGATACCCAACTCTGGAGGATACCCGCCTCTGAGGGATATTTCTCTGTGGGGGATACCCGCCTCTGAGGGATATCTGCCTCTAGAGGATACCCAACTCTGGAGGATATTTCTCTGTGGGGGATACCCTCCTCTGGGGGTACCCACTGTGAAGCTGCAAATTTCATCAGCAGTTAAAGAATATAAAAAATTCCTTTATGCAACAGAGATATTTCCTGTTACTGAGAAAGCACTTTGGGGACATTTTCCCAATAAATCTGACACCAGCAGTTGGTCTTCTGTGTGTGTGTGTGTGTGTGTGTGTGTCTGAGTGCATGCTTGTATATGTGAGCGTATGTATGTACATGCCTACATTCCCAGCCCCCCGCCCCCCCCATCCATCCAGATGTTTCTAATGACACACACAGGGGCACCTCACCATCCCGCTAGCCTGTGGCCCCCGCAGCCCGCACTGCAGCTGATTAAAATGATGCCCCCCCACACCCAGAGATGTTAGGAAAGCCGCAACCCCCCCCCATCCAGGGCCATCAATATGAAAATCTAACAGACAGACTTATATAATGAGCTCTTACTTCAGGCCTACAGCTCAATTTCCAAGCTTAATGATCCAACCTGATACCAGCACATACGGATAGGGACTGTGGGGGGATTGTGGGGGGCCTCAGCTTGCGCGTGTGGGTCTCTGGGGGCATTACTCAGAATAACAGGGATATGGTGCCGGAGGGTGCCCTCCCCCATGCATCACGGACACCTGGCCAGAGCCCCGAGCAGATCCATCAAAGTGTCCATTCTGCACCTCTGCCTCAGAACACTTAATGTTACTGTAATTAAAAGCTAATTACAGCTTTCATTCGCTGACGATTTGAAGAGTGACGTGTGTTGTTCCCGTGTCCGAGCCGGGGCACTGGGGTGGAGATTCCAGCAGCTGAGAGAGGGTGCAGTGAGGGTGCAGTGCACCAGCTGACGGGACGCGGGTTTAACACGGAACCGACGTGGGAAACAATGAGACGAAGACAAAGTGATCAGGGTGACACAGGAGCGTGTGACGGTGGTGAGAACCAGGCGGGGGCAGCAGCGAGCTGAGCCGGGACCCCCCTCCCCGATCAGGACGGCACGTCCCACCTGAGTGAGGAGCCGCTCCGGGCAGCGCGCTGCTCCGTCAGGACGCCGGTGACCTTCTGGACCAGCTGCGAGGCCAAGGCTCGGTCCCGGTGCCTTGCTGCCGTGATCAGGCCGTGGCGTCTCCTGGCCTTATCGCGCCTCGCCTTGGAGTGCAGTGCACACTGCAACTGCAGGGGGCAACAGAGATCAGCATGGCATTAGCTGCCCGGCTAGCATTGTGTCACAGTGCATGTGTAAATAAAATCACAGGTTAGAGGCGACTCCAGGATGGGGGTGGGGGGGGGGGGTTGTAATGTAAATGAATGTCAGAATTAAAATACATCAATGTCTATGTCTAAGGTGAGACCTTATCACAAGATGCTGTTTCCGATGACCCACTAAGGGGAGGGAATCGATTATATTCATTACTACAGGCTATAGATCGTACCAAACGGCCCCAGTTCACCACGCAGAAGATATCAAACGTACCTAGATCACCACGCTCTCAGCACCATTGTGAAAACGCGCGCAGTTCTGCCTCTCGTGCAGAAATTCGAGCAAGCGTAATTGCGGGGTCAGTGCTGTCCTGCCACCGGGGTGATTAATCACTGCGGACGCACAGCTGCCGCAGCCCCCAGGCGAGACTGAGAGCCTAGCAGCATGCGGACCCTGTTTCTCTCTGTCAGGATCGGTAACGGAATACGTCTGCGGGCCAGCAAGCACGTGGTACCACCTTCCGGGCTTCCACCGTAGCCCGACAATTACTGGCTGTTTACGGAGCTCTTCATTCAGCGGGTCTGCGGTTCACGTAGGATACCGTGTGGCTCAGCGGTAATCAGGTCACTGGTTCAAATCCTGGGGTCACTAGAGCGTGCCTGAGCAAGGGCCTTAACCCACTTTGGATAAATGTGTCAGGTAAATAAATAAAATTAATGTAAAAAGAACTCTGTGCTTGTGTTTATGAGGATGCGGACTTCATTTCTGCTCTGCACAAGCCGTGAATAAATGCGAGCCAGAGGCCTGAACAGCAAACCCTGTCCTACGAACGGCACAAAGGATACCTGTGCAGCTCCGCCAGCAGTAAACACTGCAAAGTGCTTTATAATGGACCCGTCTCCCCGATGCGAGCTGCTGATCTTTAAGTCCGACCGGAAAAATCAATACACATAACTCGCCTTAGAAGGCGACGGCCCATTTATAAATCTCTGTCTAGTTGTGGAGCATTAGAGCCAAATCTGGTTTAAAAGCACGACCCAGCAGCTATAAACAGAGCAATACTGTAAAGCAGGGAAGGGCAATCTTACCCACAAAGGACCAGTGTGTGTGCGGGTTTCTGGGTAACCTTTAGGGTGCATACCCAGGTGTGAGGACTCTTGAGCCAGTCAGTCTTCTGATTAGTAATATAATTAGGGAGCTGCAGTGGAAACCCGCAAACACAGTGGCCCTTTCGGTGTGAGACTGCCCACCCCTGCTGTAAGGAAATGGACCAGCAAGCCTGTAACAGTGTTTCCTGTCTGCAAAGGTTAGACCCCAGGCAGGTGAAATCTAGTGCCTTTAAGCAGGTGGACAGTGAGTCAGTGAGGGATCTTCAGGAGTAGCAGTGAGGGACCTTCAGGAGTAGGAGTGAGGGATCTTCAGGAGAAGCAGTGAGGGACCTTCAGGAGAAGCAGTGAGGGACCTTCAGGAGTAGCAATGAGGGACCTTCAGGAGTAGCAGTGAGGGACCTTCAGGAGTAGCAGTGAGGGACCTTCAGGAGTAGCAGTGAGGGACCTTCAGGAGTAGCAGTGAGGGACCTTCAGGAGAAGCAGTGAGGGACCTTCAGGAGTAGCAATGAGGGACCTTCAGGAGTAGCAGTGAGGCTCCTGAGGGTTTTAGAGTACTCTGATATGTTTGTTCACTGTTGGTCAAGTGTTATTAAACCATTTCTAATACTGTATAACTGTTGTTCATATTTCTTCCACTCCATTGGCTTTCACCAGTGGAATAGCAGGTTCAGTCATATTCAATGGTGACTATTTTCCCAGTGAAAACACTCCACTTTATCACCCTCTGAAGTCACTTAAACCCATTTTAAAATTTTCAAACCCTTTCTAATGTGTATTTAAAAAGCTTCAATCAGGTAGCACACTGTGTGTGACTAGGCAGCCTGTGATTGGAAGGTTGTTGGTTCGAATCCCAGAGTCCATGAGCAACTACAGTCCCTACTTTCTCTAAAATGTACATTTCCTAAAAAAATGTAAGGTAATACATAATATGTGACTCTCTGTGTAGGATTCTGAGACACACAGACTTTCCTGTAGACAGTGTGATCTGTGACATAAGACCCGGCGTATGAGCTGAAAGGCTGTTTGCGTGGGACTACTTACACATATACAATATATATAAGGAAACAGCCATTAAAAGACACGTTAATTGACATTTTGGAAAAGCCGTTCGATGAGGCTTTCAGACGGATCCATTAATAATGCAAATCGATGTGCTGAGACTTCCCACCAGCCCGGAGATGCAGGCCGATTACTGTCGATACAGAAGCCAAATGTGTCAGGCCGTGACACGCTTCCACACGCCGGCCTGCCACAATGCAGCCCTAATGCAGGCTAACAGCAAAGCCAGAGGCGTCAGGCCGTGACACGCTTCCACACGCCGGCCTGCCCCAATGCAGGCCTAATGCAGACTAACAGCAAAGCCAGAGGCGTCAGGCCGTGACACGCTTCCACACGCCGGCCTGCCACAATGCAGCCCTAATGCATGCTAATGCCAAAGCTAGCAGGCTAACACTGCATCAGTGACAAACGTCTGGCTTTAGGTGAACTCCAGCCTGGTCTTCCTCAGCATGATAACAGTGACGCCTGTGTGGAGGAGGGAGGTGCGTCTCCTTAAATCATCCTTATCAGGCCTCCTTACTGACATCTGCACTGTCAGAGATGAAGCATAAACACACTTCTTATCTATTTAATAATTCATCTTCTGAAATCTCCCGTTTGTTGAAGGGTCCTTACAGTCGAGACCCCGTTTCCGCGTTTTCAATGATGCTCCCATGTCCAGGAGTGCAGGAAGGCAGGGCTAGGATCAATTATCCCAGATTAACAAGCACAAATGATTCCCCTGAGTGAACCCCCCCCCCCCCCCCC